CCCCCCCCCCCTGAGAAGCCCAGGCCCAGGCCCCAGTTGCTGGAGATTGAGAACTCATTGAGATTGGAGGTCTTGGAGACCAGATCTCCCTCATAGAGGTGATGACCTGGTGATGTATGATGGGATGTCGTGGAGTTGCTGATAGATGCTGGTTGATGGACTTCTGTGTGGGAATCATGAGAACTAATATGATTGAATAAGATTGATGAAACATTTGACACATTACAAGTCAACATGTTTGCTAGACACGTTCTTCAAAACAACTAACATTTTCAAAAAAAAACACAGAAAACCACAAATCACAAAAACGCGTAAAAACCACACCCGCATAACGTCGTTTTCTGAAAAACAAAGTGTCTTCGTTGCGAATTGGTCCTTTTGGGAAGTCCAAAAGAATGAATTTTGCAGCTCGAATGGCAACACGTGTCCCAACAACATTTTTTTCTTGGACATCACGCAATTTGTAGAGGCCAAAGGGTTTCCCATACGTGCGTCATGCTTTTTCTCCATCTCCACCGCAACGCCTGCGGGCCTTTTCTTCCAGTCACGCACGTCGCAGGCCCCAAACGTCACCCGAGGCGTCTCGTCTCGCCGCAGGTTGGAAGTCACTGAGGTTGGAGGGTTACGAAAGAGGGTTACAATGCCAGGCTCTTCTGTGCTTGGCATCGTTGCATCGCCCAAGTAAGTAGCTAACATCAAATAACCTATCAAATATTATAGTGTATATGGCCAATGGGATGTGGAAGTTTTTGGATCACATCAATGTGGACTTGAACATCGTTTGATCAAGACAAACGGTTCGAACAGGTTTACGGGAGTTCACAATGGCACCATTCACAATGGCACCAACAAAAAGTAACGTGCCACGTGTGATGTATTGTGTTTTGGGATAAGGTGAAAGACAATGTCGGGATGTTACGTGGTTGTTCTGTGATGCACAGTGATGCAATAAAAAGTGGAACTTGGTATCGCATACGTGTGACGCTCTGTGATGATGCTGATGATGATGATGATGGTGATGATGATGATGATGATGATGATTTCCGTTTTGTCGTGAGTTGTAATGCAGGGATTTTGAGAAGGGCAATGTGGGGCACGTTTCTGGGTGTGCGGTGTGCGGTGAGCTTGGTCATTTGCGAAGTGGTGAAGTGTAGTGTGGTTGCTTTGGTATGTTTCGACAAGAAAGGTCTGTATTCCGGCAGTATAGCAAAATTTTCTATTGTCTATTGTTCTATAATCTAAAATGTTCTATACTACGCTGCAGAATCTCAACTTGTCTTGTCTATCAAGACCATTACTGTTCACTGTTCCAAACTTTAGATGTATGGTCGCCACTTTCAATCAACTCAAAAGTTTCTTGAAACAAAATCTTGGGATGACAGACATCATACCTTGACACCAGGTCTTTCGTTTCTCCGCATGTCTCACCCCTCGCCCTGCGCCGCGAAGCGGCGCTGCCCGCGGCGCGGCGAGGTTCCGCCGGTGGGTCCACGAGTTGGACCGAGGCAACGAGTCGTCTGACGGTGTGGTGTGGAAACTCTGTGGTTGGGGATGGTTCAAACCTGGAGAGGTTGGTGCCTTTCTGACCAACATCGAAAATCAATAGCTAGTGGGAAACAGCATGGTACCGCGGATGGGGCACGGTCTCATTGTGTTCAAACCACACTCATCTTACACGACTCTCGTGTGGATCGACCCAGTCAACAAACGCTTGAGAGCCCCAGCGACCAAGCTCCAAACCTTGTTGACCCCCCCAAAAAATAGCACGGGAAAACACGTGACCTCAAACAGCAAGGGCCTCAACCGGACATCGGCCAAGGCCCAAACCGGACATCGGGACATGACCTGCACCTCAAGCGTCGTTGACAAGGACGAGCACTTGGCAATTGCCAAGTTAGGAAAATGAGATGCCCAAGGACTGCTGATTTCCAGGCCAAAACGGCGGATCCGCGTGTTACTATATCGCTGAAAACGAAGACAAACACGTTGAAAGCATGGAAAGCACCTACAAGGTGCGATTTCACTATAGCTGTGGCTGTTTGCAGCATGTTTTTGATTCCAATCTGAAGCTATCTCTGACTAATGCAGCTGTGCACCTCTCATACCAGCAAGTTTGCTTTAAGGAAGACATTGAAGACATGGTTTCCTCCACTATCCCTGGCATGGTCTTCAGATTGACACAGCTTGAGCAGTCCATTCGTGCACGGCCTGAAGCCATCTCCTTTGAAGGATGGAGGTGTCAGGCCATATTGATTGGGTCAGGAATCTGGAGCAAGATCTTTCCCAAGATAGGACTCGCTTCTCTTTTGAAAGGACAACCTGGCCGAGGGGTAGGAACTGGATAGCACAGCTTTTCGCAAATGGACCATTCAATTCGATTGGTTTACAGTACTTTCTGACCACAAACGAAAGTGGACCACGGCCCCTGAGGCAAAGTAGGAAGACAATTCTTGTTCCGCGACTTCGATGGGAGAGTGGATGTGTACTTTCGGTTGACCAATCAGGACTGCAAGAGACTTGACCCTGAAAGTGAAACATCTCCAACCCCGTGATGAGTTTGTCAAAACTACTCCGGCTCTGTCGATTGCTTGGTTGCTGTGCCATCAACGGTTGGTTGCTTTGACAAAAAACTGGATGGGCTTTAAGGAGTCATAGTCCTAGCTGACCTATTTGCATCATGGAGTCATAATCCTTGACGAAGGAACTGGAAATAGCCTAAAACTGTCCACGGCAGTTGCTCCAGTTTCCTTCCTAAAACTTGGCCTCGCCGCGCCAGAGGTCAGCCTACCGTTCAACTCGGAGCGGCGGAGAACAACGAACGCACGGCGGCGGCGCATTGCCGGCACTGATCGCATCGGAGGGTCTCCGTGGGGATGCCCCAATGTGCCCCATGCCGAACCTATGAGTCCTGGAAACCATATATGCCGAATTATGTCGATCTCTGCTATAGATATAGCTCTTCTTCATCCTTCTTCGACCCCCAAAACATCTCGGTGGATCACATGGATCAAAAGCCAACGTTCGCACCTCGTCGGTAGACTGACCCTGCTGCGCCCCTTTGAGGCTGGCAGCAGATCTCTTGTTCGCGCGATTCCACCGGAGGGGGCATCTGAACTGGCCACTCCAAAGGGCCCATGACTATAGAAATGGCTGGTGGGCGAGTGGGTGGTGAGTGTGATCTCGAAGGTCAACTGCAAACGCCATAGCGCTCCCCAGTCCTAACGTGTAAAGAGTGTGTGGACAAAGAGAATCCTGGAACCTCTGGAGAAGGGACCATATGGATACATCATGTATACACAGTATTCAGATCCCAATGGATACGGTAAGTAAATGTAGAAATACTTCTCTTCTTTGAAGAATCTTCCAGGCTTTGCACTGGGAAGTGATGTTTTCCCCGCTTTTTGTTCAGCCATGCCGTGTCTTCTCAACAAAACCCGTGCCCACCGGTGTCCATAAGGTTCATCATCTTTGCTCCGACAACGGAAAAGCATCCAACTAAAACAAACACACACCATCATAAAACCGAGTTCGGAAGTAGCAAAGAGCTGCCAGTCCCTCCAGGCAACTAAAGATGCCCACCGAAACGAAACAGTGGGCGTCCACGAATGGAGCGCCTTCTGGCCCCCGAAGGGGAGCACAGGACTTCGCTCCGTGAATTGAGTGGCCCCTTTCTGGCGAGCTTTGCGCCAGCGTGTCAGGCGGCGAGTTCGTTGTTGTAATCGATGCTGGAGAGCTTGTCCCGGCATGTCATCCAATTTTTCTCTTCCTCACAACTGTCCGCTTCACAGACGTTGGCAGAATCTATAGACGTATTGGCTATATATTATATGGAGGTATGATCGCATGATGAGTTTGGAGCACAAACCTGTCCATGTATAGTTTCCCCTTCGCCCATTCCCAGTCACTTCAAAAGCATTGGAAATTCGTATATACAGACATGTTTGCTGAAGATTTGAGCAATTTGATTTGGGGAATTCTGCCCAAATCAACTATCATCACGACATATCATGACCATCCTCTGAGTTGTGACACAAGCTCTACCGTGCCCTTAAAGAAAAAAACACCTCTACCCTCTCCACCTTGTGTTCCATTCTCTTTGCATCTCTTTACCCAAGATCCTGAGTTTCTTGAGTGTCCGTAAGTCGCACGAACAAAAGGATCGATCCTCCTACGATGACAGTCAGATGAGGTCCTTGAAGGGGTGGTAGGCGACGAAGTTCCCTTCACACTTGTAATAATCATGATGGTCACAGTGGTCCTGCGCGAGCACCCCTGCTGGAGCGATGGGGCCTGGTGGCAGCCACGGGTGAGTTTGGGTGGGGTTTTGGCTCCGATGACGGCGTTTCCTCTGGCCAAGGCCAATTCCTCTGGACCCCAAGTGAACGGACTAAACTAGGGATGGGGCGCTGCATCTTCCTTAAAACGGTGCAAAGGGAAGAGAAGCTAGATGCGCAGTTCCTGTGTGCGCAATCCCTTGGGGAACTAGACAAAAAGTATCCACTCAGAGTCGGTAACCTAACCCACACTCTGACCCACTAACATGGAAGAAAAAAGTAATTAGGCCCCAGGAAGACCAGGAAGGCCATGTTGCTCTATGAAAAGTTGGTGTCCCACGTCCATGTGAGATGTTGAGTGGGCGAAGTAAGTGGGTTTCTCGAACATCTCTCCAAAGTGGTTCGACGACTCGCGACACTTAGCTGCACCCGCTTGTTAGCCGCACTATAGCCGCCGCGCCGCGTCTGAAAGTGTCGCTGCTCCTCGGCCAAAAGGTGTTTCACATCGGCCTTCCAAATGCCCAGGTGTTGTAAACACTCCATGAGGTAGACGTCCTGTCCGGACGTCGTTTGGGCGGCGCGGTGGTGGCATCAAAGGATGGAGGTTGTGATCTGGCTCTTGCAGCCAAGGCTCAGGTGTCTAGACACTCCGACTCAGACTCACTAACATGGAAGTGGATGGCATGGGCCTTTTGGAAGATCATGTTCTTTTAGAAACAGGTGGTTTTCCATTTCCATGTGATGTGTTCGTCGGAGGGTATCTCAACTGGCGTGTCACGTGAGTAAAGGATTCCGTCGATATAGGGACAAGATAAGATTTAAAGAAATCACGTAATCAAAACTTATGAAAACTTGTTACTAGTTGTAATGCTCTCCAACCCAACAGCGACGGCCTAGCGATGGCCTCCAACCTAATAGCGATGGCCTAGCGATGGTCTCCAACCCAATAGCGATAGAAGAAGAGCATTCGGAGCCGGTTTAGACAAAGTGGCAAAGCTCTTGTGAGACCAGCCCGTTGTGGCCTTGATACTATCACCTATCCTTTGAGATCAGAAGTCAAAATTGAGCTGAGAATTTTGTGACTTCCCCAAACTAACTCGCTTCTGGACTAATGTCATGGAATATCTGGAGAGTAACCGGTTGAGTTTTGTTGCCTGTGTTTACAAACAATCAAAACTACACTACTATGCCGCAGCTCAAGAAAGCTTGCCATAGGCCTCCTGAGACTCTTGTGAAGCCAGAACTGATATCAGGCCCTGGGCCCTGCGAATCCTTGCAACAGTAACCCTTCCCCTGATTCTACTCCTTCTACCCTGGCTGTTGATTCCCTATCAGCAACTTCTGAACTCCTAAAATCATCAGCCTCCCATCGACATCCAAGGATTAGTTGAGCTTCATACAGCTTCACTGGGAGGGCCCTTCTTCCTTCAAATTTCCTCAACCATCCCAGAGAATCAACATGAAGAATGCACATCTGCCTCAGTTGCAAGCCGACTTCCCCAATCTTCGTGTCATGAGATCGATCTTCGCACTCTTCTTCGGTCCGAACAAATACGATGCGCCAGGCAAAAAAAATGTGAATCGCCCCCCCACAAGCGCAAAAATAGACCGAAGAATAATAGGATGAAACCAACGACACGAAACCAGCCGCCTCTTGCGGGTATGCCATCTTCGTGCCGTGGCACTGCGTCCATCGATCGCTGTAGATCTGACGAAGGAGAAAAAGAGAACGGGGGAGAGGAAATTCTTTCCCGAACCACACGAACGAACACAAAGACTCTCAGAAACTTTGTCCTGTTCCTCCAAGAGTTTCGGCGATTGCTTGACAAATGAAGTGTTTGTTGTGGCAAACCTAAGGCACTTTGCTGCAAACTGGAGAACACTTCAACAAATGAAGTGGGCCCTTAGATAAAACGGTGAAAGAACCTGTACTATTATATGACCCAATGACCCTGCCATGAATTCTGTTCCCCTTCTTTCGTTGCTTGAGGCTCCTGATCCGTCCATGAGCCCTCCGCACCTGCATGGCTCGTTTGGACAGGACTTCGATCGGCCCGTGCCTGGGATGACACGGACAAAACAAAAAGAACGCGGATGGCATAGTTTCTCACAATCACCAGCAAGTGGCTTCGCCATTGTTGCTTTCCACGCGTTCGATAATATGAGGTCACTCTGAACCCCCCCACAGTTGTGTCGGTTGTGTCTGTTAGGCTCAAGAGGTTTTTCCTGGATGGAAGTGATCCAAACAAAATGCTGCTCCAGACTGAGCCCCAGCAACACTGAGGGAAGGGATTGGATGATTGGATTCATTGGATGATTGGATTCATTGGATGATTGGATTCTCAGAAAAGCTGAAGCTCCTCCAAACTCAGCTAGGACCCAGGAAAACAATTGGCTTCCCAAAGAAAGATTCCCTTCAAGAATACCACTCTGTCGATTCAGGATTTGCATGCCAGATCATGCAACGCACGAGCGTTGCAGCCGGCGGCTGAAGCACAAACTTCCTTGCGCCTTCTATACGTCTCATTTAGCACCTCCCAGCACCCAAACTGCACCGCCAAGCAACAAACCGCGCCAGCAGTTGTTCAACCAAAGCCCGGTGCCCGTCTGCGCATGGTCCTGAATCCACTTGTCCTCAGCACAAAATTGTGTGTGTGCCCGCTTAAGTAAGGAATGGATCCCTTGTTGGTGGTTTGAACAGCGGTGGGTTATTGATACGAGACGATTGAGAGGGATCACCAACTTCTTTGGGAACATCTCCTGCAGGCACTGGACGCAAGTCAGAAAGCATAGCAAGAAAAGATTGGTGAAGGCTTATTCAGTTCCAAAAGGCCTCCAACTAAATTTGTACAGAATGCATGTAATTATAGACCACCTAGCAATCATAAAAATCTACAGCCATGTAGTTGATTTCGTCTCTCATCGATTGCTCTTTGCTGCTATTGGTCTCTTGGCTCAACTGCCGCAAGCTTCAACCCTCTGTGGCCCCAGCCCCTTCCACATAATTCAACAACCGCGTTGGAACGAAAACGGAGTCCAAGTCGGCCTGGCTGGGGTCGAAAGTGAGAGTCTGAAGCAAGGAGCTAGATGATGCGAGGACATCCGGATTACTGAAGTGATAGGGGCATTTTTAATGAATCTTTCTTCTCATGACTAGGAGGATCCCTTTTTCTTTAGACCTTACTTCAGACAAAACCTATACACCCTTCTGATATCTTCCAACGTATACATAAAGGTGGTCCCCAAACATATAACTAGCATCTCCATCCAATGCCCCACCCGCGGGTTCCCGCCGTTCCCGCCAGGGGCCTTCACTGTCCAGTCGTAGTTCTTCCACACCATCCGATCCAAGACTTTGCGCCACACCTGACTGGTGCTTTACTTTTCACTTGGAAGCGATTGGACGATCCACATATAAAAAGTGGAACTACAACCTATAGTCTATGAGAGATATGCTTCCTTTGCCCATGTGGAGACAACTGGGGCACTCTGGGACTCAAACAGTTTGATTGCCCTAGGGCCAGGGCTCCAACCATATCCTCAGAAGGTGGTTAGACCCCCCAAACCCACCCCAACCATCGTCTCAGGAGCTAGGAGCCCTAGGGTTAGGGTTTCCATATCCTTCTGAGTTCGGCAAACAGCTTCTTCGCTCCGTCTTCCCTCGGATCCTGAAGAAATGGCCTTAAAGAGTCTTGTCTGAATCCATGAGATGATCTTGCACTCCCAAGCTTCACCCTGCTAATCACCTATATAAAGCCTATATAGCCTATAGCCACTCCTATAGCCTCTAGTCCTTCACAAAACACTTCTCCACACATCTGGGCGAGGTCTTGGGACATGAGATCTGGGCGTCCCCGGCAGCTCGGAAGATCCGGGTGTTCTCCACGGTCAAGGTCATCCTCGAAGCGTTCGGGTCGGCCGCGGGTCGGCGACGCCGAGGTCGATCCATCCCGTCCAACGAGAAAAACCAGAAATGGTGGTCTAGATGGAACCCCCATCTGACAGGTATAGGGCGTTGCTGCCTACTCTGAAACCACTGTACAAATTCGAGGATTTCAGATGTTTTGTCCTTGTTTGTAAGAGCAAGTTGATCCAGTCTGGGAGGTGGAGGGGAATTGGACTTCCTTTAGAGTGAGTACAAACGTGCTCTCAAAGCCCACGGGCAAACTACTTGCATTTTACCCGCCATGGAAAAACATGAGCCTTTCTTTTCATGTCACAAATACATTCACAATTTCTGTCGACAGCACTGAGAGGAGGCAAGCCAAGAAAAGTGCAGGCTTGTTTGGTGAAAGCCGTTCTGTTTCATCAATCACTTTGCGTGCCAAAGAGCTTGTTCATCTTGCAATGCAAGTCCTTGGTGTCAAGTCGTGCCACTGTGCAGCCGGTCGACCATCCTTTTTTGTGGAACAACTACTTATAAATATACACAATACATATCATGTAAATCCAAAAAACACACCTATATATACTGTATAGCATTTATATAGCACAGTATAAAAATTGCAATATCATATGCATTTAGGATTCAAAAGCCAAGAGCTTAGTATTATTACTATTATTAGTGCAGTGGATTTAGACACAATTAGAGAAGTGAGGGGACAGCAACAAAGAAACAAGCAATCAATAGCCAAGGGAACCAGTAGGTAAGAGTCAAAGGAAGTCTAAAATAGTCTAGTCTTAAGGGTAAAATAGCTAAAAGTTAAACATTATGGTAAACATTTTAAGCAACATACACTTGAAGTAATGGCAACATTATATCTAACATAATTCAATTTTAAGGGCAAAATAGTCAAACAATAAGGGTAACACAATTCCAAGTTAAGGGTACAATAATTCGAAGTTAAGAGTAAAATGATTCCAAGTTAAAGGTAGGATGATGTGGGATCGATACCTAAAGAAGGCATCTAGAAACGTGTTAGCCAGCCACCCTAATAGATACTATCTGAAAGGCTAGCATTGCCACAACCACACCTTCTTTGGGTCACTTACTTGCTCTTGTTTCAGCCTGTTGGGAGGTCTCCTGGTCTCCTCCCTGGTCTTCGACCTGTCATGTAGGGTGTCTCACCGAGCTGAGTCAATGGTATTCACAGCCCAAGTGTCTGTATCAACCTTCACGGTCTTGATGGTGCCAATGTGCATCTCCCTGCGCCAAACTTCATGACACGTATGGATTTCAGCCGATTTCAGCCCTCGATTTAGATATGGACACGGATCTTCTGGTGGAACATCCGCGAGCTGAAGACACCATCAAATCTGTGGGGGCTCACATGAAGGATCGTCGGATATCATCGGATAAGTAATCCCTCGCAAAAGCTCTTTCCTCCTCAATCAGCTCTTAAGGGCCAACGTCTACCGCCGATGCATCTCGACCGCGCTGTCATCTCAATCGACTCCGGAAGGTTCCGTTCAAGTTAGGGTCTCCAAAGGTCACCAGTGGCTTAAAAGAAGGGTGGCTCAACCACGTCACCAGTGAAGGTCACCAGTGGCTTAGTCACTAGTAGCTCAAAAGGGTCAAGAAGGTTGCCTTGAACTACAAAAACCATACCAGTTTTCTGAGTCTGCATATCTCTCCTCTGCAAGACTCACCACATCCGCTCTGCCAGACAAAAAAAAAAAAAACTCCACACGGTTCTCATGATGTTTCAAACCATGTGAACAGCGACCCAAGCGCTGTGCAGCACTGCTTCGTTCAATAAATGGACTGTTCTGAAGTGCTGAAGGAACCTCGAACCTGACACATCGTTTCAGGCGAACCTTCAAACCCTGATTGGAACGATCGGACCTTCATCTTCCAGGTTCCAGGCTTCCAGAGCCGGATAAAGAAATACCTATAATTTTAGTCAGTTTCAATCCAGCTTACAAGTTCCATTTGTTCATCTTGGGTGCTACAGAGCGGGAACTTCGTTGATGGTCCGCAGGCAAAGGAGGACCCAAAACCATCATGACCAACTCGGCGGGGTTGGAAGGCAATTGTTCCACCAGGTGATTGTGATGGTGAAGATCATTGAAAGGCTTCAAAGGTCTCAAGATGTCTCAAGTTTCACCTCGTTCCACGCATCCGCGAGATGCTGAATCGGACCTGCAAGATTGGGTGAACACCAAAAAGAACAGCGTAGCCCCTTCAAGATGGCTCAAACATCTCAAGATGCGAGGGATGGGCTGCATGTGTTTTTGTTGCCCATGCTTTGCCTGATTTCTGAGCTGGAAAAAAATCGTCCAAAGACAAGGTGAGTCATACTCCAAAAAGACTCTGCAGTTCTTCACCATCCACGCTGCCCTGGATATCGGTGCCTGTCCGAGTAGATCTCGTGTGCATCGCACTCGAAGATGCCTTGCGGGGGGTGTCAAGGCACAAGCCTGCACCCTGAACCCTGATGTATGAGGTTGAAAGCATGCAAGCGCTGGATCAAAGCATGTCAAAAGGATGCCCCAAATTGAACATGCATGTGTAAAATACAAGAGTCTACTGTTGGGGTGTGGAACTCACAACTAGTCCTTCTAGTCCTTGGTCATGTCACCCGGCTCATGTACCCTCCCAATACTGTTCATGGGATGTGGTGCGTCTATACCCAAAGTCTCTCATCCTCTATACATCTTCGATTCAGCTGGAGGTCCCCCATCCATCCTCCAGCTGCGTGATCCTCCGGTCCCGAACCGCAACTCGATGAATTGGTAGCTGACTAGCTGAGCAAATCCTGTGCCTTTCTGGAGCCTCTGCTGCATCAACAGCAAGTCCACTTCGTTGGTCCAGGGCACCACCAACCTCGGCCGACAGATGGTTGGTCGAAAACGAGGCGGCGGTTTCAGCAGTTCGGGGTTGCATGTGGAGGTGTCTTGATATGACTCCCCAATGACTAAAAAGTTGGTTCATTGTTGTTCTGATTTCTCCAGACCATTGCCCATCTCTTTCTCCTGTTTCTCTTTCGGGGCTCTCGTTTTCCCCTCTTTCTAGACTCCCTTCTTCCCCCATGCTTTCCAGCATCCCATCCGTTTCGATCCCAAGGAACGCCCAGCAAAAGAAGTTCGAGCCCACCTGAGGCGAATGGCGCGTGGATCAACCACGTTGATGAGTGGGTGGAGGGCCAGCAGGGCAGGCAGGGCCGGCGGGGCAACTGGAGTGGACCGTGACTTGCACCCGAGATTCATTTATGTTATATGACATGTGATGCATCCAGGATGGATCGTAAATGGACTTGTCTGGGATGATTTTAGGGATCCTGATTTCCTCTCCATGAACACGATGGAAAACGATTTCAACCAAACAAAACGATGAGTCTCCGTCATTCGCGACCGTCGCGCAGGTCCGTCGGCGTGGGAAAGCGGCTTCGCCTCTTTCTGCACTGAGCTGGCATCATCGCTGCATTGCTGCGACAAACGGTTGGCCTCTTGCATGGCCTGTGACCGACCGAGGACGGTAGACCCGGCTCGGTGGAGTGAAAACGCCTGGTGCACCAGGTGCAGGGTCTTTTGCTATCAAGTTCATCTTTCATACATGTTGGGTTTGGTAAGAGGCAGACATATGTACCCGCTTTGGATGAAGGGTTTTAAGCAGTTTCCGGGATTCCGCCAGGAAAATTTCATTTCCACTGGAAGTTCATCCGCTTCATCCCAGGGGCTGGGGAGTCAAGAGGCGGTGACCCTTCTCAACTCATGAATGAATGCAACAGTGACCAAACACCTAGTGATATGGTTCTAATTGGTTCTACATGGGCGGGGGTGATGTTCTTCTTTAACCCGGTTTGCTGGGGAAAACGAATCCAGGCCACAACAAGTTTCAATGAATGGCATCCAACCTACTTGGGATGGCCTCCACCTAGTAGATTCTAGCTACTACTAGCTTCTAGCTACTACGTAGTAGTTTTTTGTTCTTAGTAGTAAGGCCAGGAGCTACTAGTAGCCTCCTTGTTACTAGTAGCGCCAAATCCCAATCCGCGGTACGGGAGGAAGTTCAGCATTTCACCCAACAAAGGTGAGGCCTTCCTGCTCTTCTCGTGGTAGCCTCACACGATGAATGGTGCAGCGATGAGCCAGCAAAGCGCTTTTGGTTTCTCCCGTGTTCCAAGAGCCTTCGAAGGGGTGCGCAAGTGACAAGGGGTCTATGCAGTGCACTTCATGTCTTAATAGGATCCACTTCCCACATTTAGTACAGATCACCAGCCAGTCTGACTAAAGCTGTGGAGCTAGTGTGCTCTTAGTTCCGCAGGGCCCTGGAACTTGAATCAACATTGGACCCAGCAAGTTCTTTGTCTTTCAAGCTGTCATTTTGTAGAGTCTCCTTGTCCATCTTCGAAGTCTTTACAAATCAATCGAGCCCTGTTTAGTCACCGAGTTAGTTAAGGTCTATGCATCTTCTTGGGGTCTGTCTCAGAAGAGAAAATCAGTTCTGTTTAGCATCAGCCACTGTAGGTGCTCATGGGAAGAATTATGAGATACGAGATGTATTATATTTGATATGACAGTTCAATAAGCTTTAGCTTGGGGGTGGCATTCAATGCTGTTTTTGACATTTCTTTAAAACGGACGAAAAATCAGCAAGGCAGCGGTGATGCGGTGATGCTGGTTATTCTGCGCGAGTGCGAGTGCATTATTGACATCCTGTGTGCTTGCCCCTGTGGAGACCGAGACAGACAGACCGAGACAAACAAACAAAGGCACAGTCTCCGTGCGGGCGGCTTGGACACCGAAGCGGTGTGAATTGATGATGTTGAACTTCTATAATCGATATGTTGCATTCTGTGCCAGAAATCCAAACAAAGGGGTTCCATGTCGACCAAAAAAACGCATCCCAACGCCCTCGGCTCGGTGAATGCTAAGTGGCCACTGTCCAGGCATTTCCTTGGTGAAGTGGTGAGATGGATCCGTTCCATGGGAAAAAAAGCAAAACAAACCTCCATGGGATTCTCATGGGAGCTTCGTTCCCATGTAGCTGAGAATCCCACAGAAATAGAGCGAGAGCATGTCGTCATCTACGAGGGACAAGCATGATATCATTAAGCTGATTAAGTGGAGGTCGATCCCGTCATTTTGAGTTTTGATTCTGGATTCATGGTCCAACTGAAGAGACTGGGAACATCAGTCTATCCATAGTTGCATTTACACCAAACATAGCATAGTTTGGAAATGACTGGGCCATCAATGTTTCATTATGATACCTCGTTGAAAAGCCTCACGAAATCGTGCGCCATGTTTCAATAGCAAACAAGGCAAAGAGTTGCAAAAGGATCAAACAGTGCAAAAATCCCTACAATGCACTAAGCCTATGTGCTGCCTGTTTGCTTGTTCTATCTCTTGCAGCCAACTACCAGTGGGGCAGTTTCTTCTACTGTCCCTATACCGAATAAATGAACCACTTCCACGCGCGAAATCCAATCGCTTGGCCGCTTGACCTTTCTTCCTTTTCAGCGCCTCAACGCCACGCAGAAATCGAAGCTGCGCCCACGCCCGCGCCGCGACGCGTCAAGCACCGCGACGGGATCCAAGTGGCCCGCTCCAAAGCTCGGCGTCGTAGAGGGACTTGGAACAAGCATCTTTCACCTCGCTAGGAACAAGGGCATCGCTACTAGGAACAAGTGCCTTACTAGTAGTAACAAGAAGCTAGTAGGAACAAGTGCATCGCTTCTAGTAACAAGTGCCTTACTAGAGTAATTAACAAGAAGCTATTAGAATTATAAAATATTAATTATACAATTTATAATTAAACAAGCATCTTTCACCTCGGGTCCAAAGCTTTGATGTCGAGGTCGGTGGCAAACAGTTCAGTTTCACCTGATGATGGAACTCGTGTCATATCCTAAACACTCTATGGGACTGACTGGTATATGTGTCCATACATTCGGGTGGTTGAAAAGGTGGGTTTTCCCTCCGCTTCCGTCCCATCAGCTTTTGGTGCTAGGAAATAGCTCCTGAGAGGTACTGGGAGTGATCAACTCATTTTAAAATAAATCACTTTCCGTTGATTTTGGTGTTTGAGTCGTTGCTTCACCTGGCCTTCCTTTCCGACCATCGATTGGGTCACTCATAAAAAGTGGTGGACTCCACAAAAAAAACACCGCTGTAATTAGGGGAAGAAAGCTAACATACCAAGACTTACACACCCAAAATTGCAGAGATAGACACCCCGAAAAAATTGAATACTGGAACATCTGCGAACAACAATCCTCTTCCAATTGCTGAACTCCTCAGGTCACTACTACCCCAACCCTGTGACTTCTCCATTGGCTGTACTCCCATGAGTCTGCCATGAGCCACTGTCAACCTTCCAGGGATCCCCCTTCATAATTTGATGGAACCCCTGGTCCCTGGTCATAAAGTAATCCACCTGGTGCAAAAACAACATGCATTGTTCATATAATACACCAAACGTCGTGAGATGTTGTCTTGCGAAAATGAAAGACAAAACAAAGCTGTGTCATCGTAGGGGATGAGGCGCCCCGCCCCGTGGATTGTCGATGACACTGACTTCTGGTGCCACCTCCCTCGCTCGACCCGCTTAACGACTCGACGTAGCTCTGCCAGGCCACAAAGGCTTGATCACCCTTGCCCGTGCAAAGCCTCAAAACAAAAAACTCGCGCGCCAAGGATGCCGTGCACGGATGAACAGAAGAGAAAAGTAAGTGCAAGCTTGTCAAAAGGACAAAGCTCGGGGGAGGCTCCTTCTACCTGAGCCCACATCGGTTGGAAAAGTGAGTTCAACATCAAACAAGCTTTGTTGTTTTAAAGATCTACAGCTAAAAGCCTCACCACAGCAGTGAGATTGGTGAACAAGGTCATGGACGCCACTTGCGACTATGTCCCGCTTGCTTCGATCTAGAGTGTTTCGACTTGTTTTGTGTGGAGCTTGATGTTGAAGACATGACCCTTCATGATATGTGTTCAAAACTCTGTTGGATTCTATGCCGCAAGAATCTCCTGTCCCTCACTTCATTTGCATCCGCTTCTCCCATCATGAGGCCCACTCAGACCCTCCCCCAACCCCGTGGTGTGTCTACTGATTCTCCCAGCAACCAGTCGCAAGGGTTCAAGCCCTTCCTGAGTCGAGAAGGGGAACTGTGAGGCCGGCCGCTGCGGTGTGGCGGGGCCAAACAGGAAACAGGCACAAACAGAACATCATCTTCGCGACCCACTCCTTGCAGGCAATCTATGATTGAACGAAGGGTCGTCTCAAAGGAACTATAACATCTTCCAAAGCAAATGCCCGGTCTTAGTGGCCGATCACCTGCGGTTTTGGGTATGTCCCGAGGCCACACCCATGCACGTTCCGGAGAGTAGAAAGCGCCATGGCGCTTCCGAGAGGAGTCTATCTCTTCTTCGGTGGCAGCCCCGACTCGGCCCGAAACCAAGAGGACAATGAGTTTGTCCGACCGGGAAGTCCACTTGGATGGTCACGGGTTGATGTTCGACCTGGAAGTTTCTGCAGCCATGCAGCCGTCTCCAAATAGGGGTCTCCAAATGGTGAAAAACACTAATGCAAATCGTTTGGGTAGAAAATGGTAGAAAGACACTGGACCAACATTGTGCGAGCAGCCTGTCGGATGCTCCCCAGAAAAGTCTGAAGATTGCATAGGCTGCTGTTGGAGGAAACGAACCAACTAGTGGTGTTCGGTGGAACTGTTCCCCATGGTAGCAACTGATGGTGCTTCAGCTCATTGAAGATCTCACTTCTTCACACTGAATTATGCCTGACCCACCCATCCACAGTTCATCCAAGCTAAAACATGCCGTCCCTTTCTTTCGGAGCCAAGGGTCTCCTCCTTCTTGCCCTTCAAGCATTGCACGGTCCGATGGCAACTCGCCGGTGGATCCTCCTGGGGAGCCAAGGACATTTGTGTCTTTGAAGTCTTAGTCTTAGGTGACATCAGAAAGGAGCCCTTGAGTGTCCTTCTCTTTTGAGGGGAGCGCAGAAGTTTCTATTATAGCTAAGTTGCTTTATGTTGCTGTTGGGGCTGGTTCATTCTTGGCTTGAATGACCATCGTCCCCGAGGAACATGAAGGATATGTTTAAGTATCAAGTGTGGGATCGCTTGCTGAACAGGAACTCCAAAAGATCCCAAGGTGCCGATTTTGTTTCGGTGCCCTGTCCTCTGGTGTCCTCCAAAAGGACATCTCTGAGGCCCATGCCAACTTGGAACTGTGTTCATGATGTTTCATCCCCATCCTCCCATCCCAGTTGACCCCCGACTCGCTCCTTCCGGAGGTCCAGACACTTGTTCTGACGGGCAAAGATCTCGTCGTAGCAGCGGCCTGCACCGCTCGAGCGCTCAGCTGAAACGCATCGATTTCTGCCGGTATCCTGAACTCCCGGTGATGGGATGCTTGTCCAGGATCGAGGAGTACCCAGCATTCAGCCTGAAATATATGTCAAAGACTTCCAGAAACCTTTCTGGTTGTTCTTTGCAAGCCTGCCGAAAAGTGGATCCACATGGATCTTCATCCCAGTGACGGTATTTCTCGAAGCCACAAAAACGCCACGAGGGAACCCCGTGAACCATGGGCTGATCAAATGGGCCAGCATCACCTGCACCGGAGTCCACCGCACCATCCGCGCCTCGTGCGACGGCGTCGGCCTTCACCGGCTCGATGCATTCGAACAAGGTCTGGTTGAACCTCACGATGGGTAAGGGCTGCGTAAGGGCACGGGTGCCGAGCACGGGCGCCGGCTTTTTGGTTTGGAGGAGGAGGATCTACCTCGCAAAACGTGACCAAAACATACCAAAACCACGAAGAAGTGCAGACCAGCACCAGCCTTTTCGGGTGGCTATTAGATGGAACATACAGTACATACCCCCGCAAAAGAAGGTCAGGGAGGTCCAGAAACCACTCCTTGGGCGGTACTTGGGATAAGAATTTGGTTCGAATGTTCCATGCAATGTTCCATGCACTCGTGAACGTGAGAAGTGTCCAACATCCCCCTTGATCCTTCTGGGTGGGAGTCGTCACTTGCCACTTGGGAATTCCTCGTAACTCCTGGTCCTGCATGGTGACGCTGACGTCTCATGTCCAGCGGGTCCAGGACCCCGGGAGAATGCCAACCTCTTGGGTTGAGCCATACTCACCAGCCTCAGACCAGCCATTACCAGCCATTCCGCGCATCTCGCGCAAGGAGATCATGGGCTCGTAGCCAGGCAACAGGACATCATAGACTTCATCGCCGGAATCCAACTTCACTTCCTGCGGGTTTCAACCCGCACCAATCACGGAAGACCAATGCGCTCGGCGAGCGGACAGCCCACTGGATCGAACCAAACTGGATCAACCAAGGTCTCTGAAAATGCTTTCGTTCCTAGTGGTGCCTAGGTTGCTGGGCTGGTGACTATAGGACCTAATCAATATCTGACTCTGACCCAGTCTCTCCGCCTCTGGATCCATGTCTACCATAAAAAGCAAACTCTTGGCTCAAACTATCTGTGCCTTTTTTTTCACTTGGGATCAACATATATATTAATATATATGTGAAACGTTCCGATACCCACCTTGTCGAGAAACCCTCCAAAATCAAAAAAACACAATATACGGACGTTCGACTCCGATCGCATCGCTTCGTCTCGCTTCGTCTCGGAGGGGGCGCCTCGAACTTCCACTCTTCCATGAATTCACCTCGGCCAGGGGAAGCTCGTCGCTCTGCGCCAGAGCGCCCCCCCCCCCCCCCCCCCCCCCCCCCCCCCCCCCCCGGTGGAGACCTGGAGACTTACGGTGACGAGACGGAGACGAGTCTTCGAGCCGGTCCGGTTCAGAGGCAAAAGGAAAGAAAACCCAAGAAACGGCAAAATGGAAGGCGTAAACGGACTACACTCCAAGGTTCCTGCGTTTTAGTTTTCTCTTGTTTTTCTTGTGTATATAGAAACTCCACCTTACATGTTCGGAACGACATTCTTCTTTAGCAATCACCATTGTCCATGTCACCGCTCCACTCCGGTATGTTCCACGTCATGTTCCAACATCTGTGCTTTTTCAGGTCGCACAGACTGAGCATTTGCTCCTCCCGAAAAGAAAGTCCCTGCACCAATACCGCGGTCGCACCAATACCGCTACCACTGGCTCTAAGTCAAAGAAGCGACGGTTCACCAGTGGGACGCAGCCTTCAAACCCAGAATGAACGTTCTTAACTACAGCTGAGCTCTATCCAGTTCGGAGCTGAACTGGACCCTGATGGGGGTGCTGAACTGGCCTCTTGTGGACTCAAACGTAGAGCAATAAGATGTCTCATCGTTTCAACATCGCTTGGGACTCATGAAACGAACTATGTTTGGGAACCTCTTTGTTATAAGACAAACTCATTGAGAAGAACTCATTGACTTGTTGCATTGAGGAAAAAAACATGTCTTATAACTCAATTTCCGGTGTTTGCATACGCATCTGCGGGCTCCGTCGCCAACAAACATCTCCAACGCCTTTGCCCTTTTGATAAGCATGAATAGCCCGGAGTTGAGGTCTGACATGGAAAGGAAAGTAAGTATATCTGAAAACCTCAATGAAGTTCTGACTCTGTTCATTCATGATTCATGATCTTGTTCCCATGTCCTCTTCCTATGTCTTCTTGCCCCGGTCCGGCTGCCCAGCCGGACCCTTCTTCCCCCGGTCGTGGCTTCCATCCTCCAAGACACCCTCGATGTCGCGCACCCGCTCCACCGATGTCACACGTGCCTGCGGCGCCATTCGTTCGAGCGGTACGGGGCGGAACGGTCGGATTTTTGATGCTTGTTTCGGGGTCCGGGGGGAGCAAACCGAACAAACGGTGAAGTGTTGGCAGCAAATGTTTTGGAAGCCAACATGTTGAAGGTTCTATTTTGAAGCAACATCTTGTTTGAAGGTGCTCAGTGTTGCCTCCTCCTCGACTGTCCTCATCTGGTGCTCATGGATGTTCTTGGATGCTGTACAAAATTGTAAATGCTCGTTGAGATGGAGTTGAAAAAGGCAGGGGTTCCAAGCTGCATGTTCGATTCATTCAAGTCAGTGGCTGGGAGTTCTTGGCAACTGGGCCGCCTGGGCCCTTTCCTTTTCGAACTGGTCTTGAATTGGAAGGTCCCCCAACAGGTGAAGCTTGGGTATCCCTTGATGATGATGATGATGATGATGATGATGATGATGATGATGATGATGATGACAGGTGGATTTCACTTGGATGTTTTCAAAAAAAACAAATGGGGCGGCCGTGCTGTTTCCACTGATGCTCCATTGCCTTTTTCAGGCCTTGGGGGGGGGGGTGTCGCATAGAGCGTTTGCAAGCCCATAACCATGTCCGTACATGTGCGCAACTGAGCTCGGTTGATGCTTTGACTTCAGAAAAGGCACTGACTCCATCTGGTTCTACTAGAATATCACCCCACCCCTGTGGGATTTTCACCAGCCATTTCCTATGTCATGCTAGGACCGCCGTGTATTTCAGCCTGGATGTGCACACATCAGTTCCAGACACTTCTCGCACGTCGCGAAGGACGTCCATGCGCGGCCCCGACGGCGTGTGCCTGGCGCAAAGTGAAGGACGCTGCGATGGCCGCAAAGCCTGCAGAGATGACGTGCGGAGGGGTGCTATGTATGACCAGGTGCATTGGTAGACCAAGGATGAAAAGACGTTGCGAAGGGACGTATAAGCTTATGTACAAGCTATGTATGAGTTATAGATGAGCATGGTCTTGATCTTCATTTTGGAGGAATCGGCATGAATTGACAGTTGTCTCCGCATTCTACGTACTCCAGGGTGATGGGTATGAACAACTTGCCAACATGTGGTGATTTGGAGGGCCAGATGCTTTTGTTGTGGCTTTAAGCCCATTCTCGTCTGGATGTCGATCCCATCCGTGTTGTAACAGGTCTGAAAGCTTGGCTGGGAATAATTTGCCGCCTGCAAGACTGGCACACGTGGCTCTGGAGAAATGGTGAAGCCTTGAAGGACTTGTGGCTCCCACCTTGCTTAAGGACGGCTTGGGGCAGAAGAATTCACCAGCAAAAGGCTGGCGGCCAGCGCTTAAGGCTCAAGCATCGAAGGAAACTCAGGAGACCATCAAACCAACAAAGCACTTGGACCAGGAGTCACGAAGGAGTTGTTTTGAGTCCCTAAGTGAGTGGATAATGGGCACCCCTATCCTCCAATAGGCACCCCTTTGTGACTCCTGGGACATGTTACTTCTGAAACTTGCAGTTCGCGATTCGTGCTGTGCGAATTTGCGCCAAAGAGGACTGAGACTCCCTCCAAAAAGGGCCCAATTCATCTCATCCCAACAGCAGTCGGGAGCCCAGCTTGAATCCCTTTTCCCTGATTGTTCACAGGGCCCTTCTAAGTTGACTGGTGCATCTGCTCCTTCCTGCATCTTCAACCCAGGCCTAGGGCTAGCGTCAGCAGCCGAAGAGACCAGAAAGGCCTGGCCAAGCACTCCTTCAACTCCTGGGAACAGCCGGCCAGGGTCAATCTGACGAGGCCGCCCACGCCCGGTTCAGTTGGAAGGATGAAGGGCTTCAGGACGACTCCCGAAGCTGCGGACGCATGTGCTGACGACCCTTTGGGGCGGAGAAAACTCTCTGTCCCCTAACCAGTGTTGAGCATGTGCCTGGGTCTGTGCCTGGGTATAGGAGAGCCCAAGATGTATGTATAAATGAATCATAGAACTCAGGGTCAGAAAACCTCTTCCTGTCACTCGGCCAAAACAAAATGAACGCAACAACATCCTTATCACCATTGTTCCGGATCAACTCGTCGTGTAGCTCAGCTTTGACCAGTCCACAAGTGGTCATCCAGTACTAGTCGACAAAGCCAATCACACTTTAATCTCAAATTGTCGCTAAACATGAGTTCGCGACAAAAGAAGCAACAATCGTTGCATGATACCAGACGCTCAAGAATCCCTTCCATGACATATTGTAAGTTTGTCAAGGCCCTTCAGCAATCCTTGCATGAATTGTTCTCCTTGCCCGGCATGAAAACCACATGAATCTTTCTTTGACCATGTTGATTGCAATTTATGTTGATTGCAAATGAGTGTGGCTTCCCAGAAAGTACCCGTATTCCCAAAAAACAAACTTGGCTACTCCGGAAGAAACCAAGCGCAACAAGCAAGGTTTAGGACCAACACCTTTGTAGCAAGAAGGTGCATCCATTTTGAAGAACTACAGTAGGTGACCTCAAAAACAAAATTGTTTTTCAAAAAGGCGACCTCAAGAGGCTGAACACAAAAAAAGGTCTCTTGGACTCCAACGGGCTGGAAAACCCCTCAGGTCTTTCACAGGGCACCGGGGAAGCCGCCCGAGTTGCAGCCCGAGTTACGTCCCGGTCACGCTGCTCGCCCACCTGCGTGACGCGTGACCCGGCATAGTGGTCAAACACAGGAACACCTTCCAGTTCCGTTCACAAAATATATAGTTTTATTGCTAGTTTTATCATGGTTTACTGGGTGATTGGATTGCCCATAACTTTCGCAGTCTGCTCGAAAAGCAAGGGGTGTTCATGAGGACTACGCAAAAACCGAACAAAAGCACATGGTGCATTTTCCGCATGTCCGTGGGTGCCTGGGTGTGGCTATTGCCTGCAGGTCCGTTGCAGCCAACCGGGGTGGTCACGGTCACGGATTTCCGGGGTGCTGAACAGCGCAAGGACCGGACTGCTCAAGTAGCGCATTTGGCGAAGGATCCCCTGTGATCTTCTGAAGGTAACCCTGGTCAACTGGTCAAATAACCTTGTAGTTTTGTGTTGTTATTTTAAAACGTTTTTTGTATGTATCACAGTTTATCACTATACACATATCTCTAAGTACATATTCTTATGCAATAGTTACATATATATAGTTTCATCAACTGTCATAGTTTCATCTAAGATCATCCAAGACCATGTTCCATTCGACCCATCTACATGGTGAATCCCGTCAAACGAAGCTCTTCACCTCGAGAAGCTCTTCACAGTCTGAACGTTCCATGGCGGCTCCCGGCCACACCGGCGGGACGGGCGTTGAGCTCAGCGTCTTTTTCCCAAGACTTCCAAAGACGGAAGATCCGATGAGCAGAACTTGATATGTTTCAACAAGATGTATAAATATATGTGGTTTGTTTCCAGCAAAAAGATAATATCTGGTCCTTGCGGGAGTCTTGCAGTTCAACGCCACCTGATGAAGTGGTTGCTTTTTTGGTAACTTCCCTCTGTACATGAGTGTTGATCTAGAAGAAAGATGTCCTGCGATCGTTCCTGGAACCAAGACCTCGGTAGATGTGGGCGCGAGGTAACGAAATTGGCAAACAGCGCCAGCGGTGCCCTGTGGAACACATTGGGTGCTTTACGGGGCGTTTTTATTTGGCAGGAGTATGTGTGTGTGTGGGTGTGCGCGCGTCTTTGTTCAAACGATACGGTGCGACCAAGGCGAAATGAATAACAAATCAACAAACCGCACGAGATCTCGTGTTCTTTTCAACAATTCAAGGACCCTAATGCAATTGGTCTCTGAAATGCCGGAGCTAGTAAATGTTGTGGATATGTGATATGTCTTGATCATTCCTATCACAGCAACCTGAACATCAATGGGCTTTGCACAATGATGACGTGAGTGCAACCTGTAGATGGGTGCAATACAGTGCGGTAGGTCCATCCCTTTGGAACCACTCCCTGATGAGCAGCCGCTGTGCGTTGAGTCGGAACCGCAAAGGCCCCGGGAACGACCGAAGCCGCCCGTCACCCCGAAGAAGCCAGTGCGACTGCATCACCATAGGCATCATGTAGGCCTCAGAGATGGCAACTGCATCACCGCGGCAATCACGGAAAATAAAACTGTTCTTTGCTCCTTGCAGTGGTTTGTGATGCACAAGTTGATTGGTCCCCAATGCAGGAACAAGATAATGAAAGAAAATGGAACACAAAAAAAAACACCAACAGACTCATTGCAGTAGATTCAACATAGTGAACTCAGTTCATCAGTTGCTCTTGACTCGCAATGCTTCAATGTCTCCAAGTTCTGGCATCTCTTCGTCGTGCCGCATCACCTGCATCCGTGTGGCCAATGCCGTCGTCATGTTCTTGCTCATGGAGATGTCCAAAGCCTGCGGCCGCAAGCCAGCGGTTTCTTCCAAGCAGGATGGCCATCCACGGAGGAAACGGGTGGCAATCCACGCATCTCGGATATCTCGGATGCTTTTGGCTCGACCATCTCAGAATCCTGAAGGATGACATGAGATGAATTGTCTTCTAAAAGGAAGATCTTTCCTCTTGCATGCTTGGCTTTGAGAGAGAAATATACTCAATCCCCAACTGCAGTCCTGGTAGAATTGATGTCTACAGCATAGACTTTCAAACAATGCCTATAGCCAATGAACTGTTCTCTTCACATTTGTTTGGCCATTCTCACTATCTGTGACCCAAGCCGCGGCTGCGCCTGTTCCACCATCCGCACCATGTAAGCCATTCTTGACGACCCCAGATCCCCCTCATCCGCACCCAGCCTTGATGTTCTCGTCCGCCTTGGCCTTCACCGCTTCCGGATCGATCTCCGCCGCCTTCCGCCGGCGGTCCGGGTGGCGCGGCGCGCTGGTTTTTTGAGGGTCGACAGGGATCCTTTTTGGAAAAAAACAACCAATCCAAATGGTTCTTGCAAGGACCTGGTGCTGTTTTTGTGGATCTTGTTGCAAACAGTCACCTCAACGTCAACACGCTATGATTGTATACTTCTATGTGATGCTTTAATTTTAGCAGTTTTTCGCGTAGTGGATTGGGATTCGGCTGATGAGTGGATTTGCAGAGTGTTGCAGGGTCTAGCACCTTGTAGCACCCTGCGTGGATGATACTTATTCCATACTTGATATAGACTATGGATGAGTTCTTGGAGAAATGCCATCTCACATAATGACAATGGTATCATAGGGCTGAGCTAAGTTCCTGTTCCACTCAATGTTGGAGGAATTTGATCGATGTTGACGAACATGAGCGTTTCAGAAGGCGGCAAAATCTGCCACAAATGTCTAGGATGTGCCTGCAAGTGAACACAGAACCTCGGGCTCAGAGAACATTTTAACGTAAGGAACCCTCAAAATATCACAATCAACATGTCACACTCGGGTGCCTCCTGCTTTCGTTCAGCTTCCAAGGTCATGATGTCTTTGAGGATCCTCTGCAGCTTCTGTTTTTCGATGACCTCACAGAAGAGCTTGGCTTCCAAAGGTGTCCGCGAAAGCTTGCACACAAGGCAGTGGCGCCTCATGAACCAATATGAGGCACTTGTGGTATAAACAAAACTCCCTGGGTTCCCTTGATTCCGTCCATTTGCGGCTTCACTCAACCATCAGGGGGATTTGTCACAACTCGGAGGGGTGGAGGAACCTACTACGAACCTCCAAAGCAGTTCTTTTGACACGGGATTTCAGTGAATTATTAATTAATAATTAGCTTTCAGATTGCAACGAAATTCAGGTTTGAATTGAACAGTATAATTTGCAACCTGCAAATTCCAACCTTTCAGATTGCACGAATACATGTCGTTTCATCGCATGGTTGGCCTGATGCATTAGGATCTTCGTCTTCTGCTTCTTTAGCAAGGACCTGGCACAACATCCGAAGACTTACTATATACTAGTGCAAGAAGCTACTAGTAGCTCCTGGCATTACGACTAGTGACAAGACGCTACTAGTAGCTCAGGGAGGTTGCTGTGAAAGTTACGGACTATACACGAACCTTTCAATCTGCGGGCCCCTCTCAACGCTTGAAGCATGCAAGGAAGTACCAGTACATCGGTTGAATGAGGTCGCTTGCCGCAAAAGAACACATGATCAATCATGTGTTTGTGTTGTTTCCCCATACGTGATCGGCTGTAGTATTTAGACCACCCTCCGCAAAGGAACAGTCCAGCTCAACTCGCTTGGCGCTTGCTGTGCGCTCAACTCGCTTCTTTTGGATCTCAGCGGTGCCTTAGAATCGCGAAACGTCTTGGTGTCCCGTCCATGGCTCCAGTTCCAACACTCGGATAAGCCGACGCACAGCATCGTGTATCACATTTGGACAAATATGGTGAATCATGTAAATCAATTTCAACAGATTTACACATTCTCTGAATATTATATATATAAACCACATGGACCGAAAAGACCCAAACAAAAAACATCTTTTGCAGGGTCCAGGTATATTATACATAATTGGATCCAATGTATTGAACGTATTTATTGGATCGCATGTCGCTTTTTTTTTCAGCTGCCTAGACACTCCCGCGTCGTAGGACGTCGCCCACCATGCAGATCCACTCCGGCTGACATGGCCTGGCCACTCATTATTGTGCACCAGGGGGTTCAACATGTTTTAAGCATTAGGGTCCAAATCCATCTGAGGTTTAAACCAGTTAACGAGTCTAGAATGTCCTTTTGGTTATGTGATGCCTCGTGAGGCCTCATGTTCTTTCATGAGGGTATATACAGTAGATCGATTGAGCAAAAAAGCCAGGCATTCCATGTGGATCGATCTGAGTCTGAGATCTGACTTGAGACAAAATCATGTTGCATCTGTTGCAACAAAGGACGCCCAAAAACAAAGGTAGAGGACCCCACGTTGTTGGGATGTAGATAGGCTGTTGTTTCATGTTGCTGGATAAAGCATTCCTGCTCATGGAGAGAGTTCATGTTTACCATTAGGCTTGATAAAACCATCCCTACACCATCCCTTAACAGAGAATGCTTTAACCACAAATGCAAAGCAATACCTCGGCCAAAAATATTGTCACCCTATATCCTTTCAGCAAATCACATCCAACACTGGTCACTGCCATGTGGACCTCCGCTTTGCAAAGAGACCTCTCTTCAGAACCACCGACGAATCACGAAGTCCGTTGATGAGCACAAACAACAACGCATCATCTGATTGCCCCAATGGCAGGTGCCCAACTATACATCGCGGTGTCGATTGCGATCACAGGGTGACGGCCAAGCCATGGACCCACATGAGCCCGACCTACCCAGGAGCCGCGTGATGAACAAATTGCACAAATTTGCTAGCAGGGTTGGGAAATACCCTGCAAATATATAACCTGTTGTTCGTAAATTGCAATATAAGCAACTTGAGGCCGAGGGTAGGTGACGAAAGCTAGCAGGGATGCATCCGTGTCAGTGGAGGCGAAGCATACAGCGCCGTCCAGTGACAAAGGATTGGTGGGACATCAAGCGGAGTGAGGCAAATCTTTTTTCATAGGCATGGGGCTGTTGGAGGGATGGTTCACAAGGTCTCGCTCATGAGGTAAAACGTTGTAACGTTGTGAACATGTAAGACACGCGAACTGCAATGACACAGCCAACCTTAGCTTGTGAATCTGTTGAATCTGTTGCATCGTATCCCAAAACCTCCACGGAGGAGTTGAACCAAAGTGGATGCCATAAGAGGTGTCCAAGAGGTGTCCCAAAGGCGTCCCAGGGGGAGTTGAACCCGTGGGGGGGCGGGGGTGGCCCTCTACATATGAAGTTTTCACGTGATGCGGTGATCTCGAGGATTCCAGCCCCTCACTTGCTAAAGCAAGGACAACTCCAGCTAGCTGCTGCTAGCTTTCGTGAATATTCTTGCTGATACTGGTTGGCTAACAGGGTATATTATATACGTCTTTGACATTATTTGAATGTATTTGATCGTGTTTGCAATGGGCATGAGGAGTTTGCAAGGTTTCAATTGTGGTCCTGCCGTCCTCACCACAATCTCAACTGGAGAAGCACCCGACATCTCTTCCCTGATTCTCCAAGCCTGGCATCCATGGCGTCTGAGCAGTGGTCGCCAAACCCAAAGCCGTCTGCCTTGGCATCTTTTTCACGCTAGAAGCAGGACCATCCAGTCGGTCATGAGTCATGACCAATATTGTACTACCTACCTTAGTGTACATGTAGGTGCCTCACAGATATATGTACAGTACACTACAGTACGCTATACCTTTGAGTACATTATATCTATCCTTCTTTCACCAACAGCGTTTAAGTGCACGATCATTCCGGTATGCTATAGGTGGGCACCATCATTCCGCCTGGCGCGACCCGCCCCTCCTTCGCCCCGAACCGTGAACGGCGCGAGCTTCTTGAAGCCCGGTGGGCGGGTGTGCCACATACCAGCGGCGCTGAGCTGCCTCCACACAGCCGCTGCTCGCATAGGTCTCCTGTGTGGAGGGTCAAAGGGAAGAGGGAAAATGCTATCTGCACATATGTGGTCCCGCGAAAAGTGCCCAGGAACCCACAGGTTTTTTCGATTTAGTATCCTTGAAATTCTTTTGCCAGGGATGCTATGAGGGTACTTTCCAGACATCTGGGGACAATGAGGCCACGCATCGCCTCACAAACAATCCTTTTCATCTGTGTCCTCATCCTTTCACTGCTTTGATTAGTTGATTCTTGTGTGCACTGGACTGACTGTAATGCTAGTTCTACTATGAATTACGACATGCATCACCAGCATATTTGAACGCCACATATGGTCTCCGCCAGTTGTTCCAGCGAGGGCAGGCGAAAAGCAGACCCTTCTGGCGACTCATCAGGGAGGCGCCCGTCTGCTGCATTGGTCAACCTGGAGGTATAAAAAAGGGGCATAGGAATGTATCTGAGATCGTCTGGAATTTTTCACTATAGTCTTTGTAGGGAATGAGCATTTTCAGTGCGGTAAGACTTGTCCATCAGAAGTAAGAAGATTTGGGCACAAAGCTTCGCAACATGGATCCCCCAAAAGTTGGCGAACCCATTTGCTGAGGAATAGTGTGACCAGATCCACACCACCCTGGAGCATACACCACGACAAACCACGCCACGTGGAAGTTCATCGAATGCGTCTTCACATGTTCCGAACCCTTGAGCGAAGAATCTGCTGAGCCGGTGCTGACCCATGAATGCCCCGTCCGGTGCTGACCCATTTGATGTGTAATGTAGTAGAGGGTGAGTGTAGATGATGTGAAACAAGGTCTTCAACCCACACATGCTGCCTGTCATTGCCCACCTACGTTCCCACATGTACATACGGTTAATACGGAAACACATTGGCGCTATTTCAGTCGTCCTCATTTAAGTAGACGATGGGAAGAACCCACCAAAAAATCAATCAGCACATGTTTGGATTGGTTTCCAGTTCGGCATCCTCTTGAAGAAATTCGGAATGTTTGTCTCTCAACATGAAAAGCTGATTTTGCAACTGTTTCGCTTATGAATCCGGCTCGGCCCATCGAATACCGGCCTTTCCAGCACTTCTTGCGCAATCCCCAGAGAGGCTGTGAGCCCAGTGCCTGGGAGACTGTGTGCAACGTAAAACGGAGTTCTATAGGTTTTCACATGTGGTGTGCAATGGGTTCTGAGTATCTTAGGAGTGTTTCTTCAGAAGGCTTCTTCAGGGTGTTTCATGTTAGAACACAAAAAGCAATGGTGTTCAATGGTGTTCGCCGTAGCTTAGGAGAAACATGTCAAACCTGTGTGTTTTCGTTGTTTTGTTTCCATCAACTCCAGTGAACCTCACCGGTTTGAGCTCTTGGTCTTCAAGTTTTAGGCCGCTCTGAGTGCAGAGACCGCACACCCGGGCCCCCCCATTTTCGCCGTCTGCGGGACGTCGTGGCACCGATCCCGGTGCGGGAAAGACCGCCAGGCTGCTGCGCACGCCCGAGATGGAGGTCCAGTTCTTCGAGGAGTTCCTCAGTCACAGGGTCTCCGAGGGAAGCCCCCATTCGAAGAGATCTGTCCCAATAGCCAGGAAGAAGAAGTTGGAAAGTGGGTTGACAACTGAACTCGGGTTCCTGGAACGAAACTCGGACTGCTGCCCTCCGGTCTGTATGGTTGGTTGATGTATGACATCTTGATCATCCCTGATGATATATGAGATGATTTGGACGGTGTTATTGGGAAATGGTTCCATTCCGATTAATTGAGCCATCGTCCTGGCCTACATGGGGAAGTGACGGTGCGATTGGAACATGTTTCCTTTCTAATGACCAAATTGATTCATGGCAGGAGCATGGAGGTTTGGCTGGTATGGTTGGATTTTCAACTTGCCCACTATACCACTCAGTCAACCTGCTGTCCATAGCTTGTGACCAGTGTACCATAATCTTTGTGAGAACCGATAAGAGCCGCGTACATTTGGAGTGCCCCTGCCATGGAAGACACCTGCGGCAACATCTGGGGCCTTAAATACACTCGATTCATCTGAGAACTGGGAGGTGTACCACTTTGTAGGTGCTGATGCTTGGGGAATAACACGGAATACATGGTTTTTCAATCTAGGAAGAGAACACCTGACTCACTGTCTTCTTGTAGCATCCTTCACAAGAAACCTTTGCAATCCATTGAGGGTCATTGAGCACCCTTTGCCCAAAGGCCTTTTCGGTGGTTGGAAGTGAAGAACGCATGGCATGGTGGCCCCTTTCATTCGGATGACCATTATCAATCCGAATACATCCGAATAAGAAACATGTGGTGAACTCCACTTCCAGGATGACTTCCCATCCCAGCCAGTGTCTCTGCTAACACCCAGCATCAGAAGGTAGTCCGTCCCAAAGGTGTCTGCCAAGGCGGGCCTCAAGCCTTCACTCAGCAACACCACAGTCACGGTCGGTCCTCTTAGATACAACAGAAAAGCACCAAAACAAGGTGGTGTTCTCACAGTCAGTGGCGTGAAAACACAGTCAGTGGCGTTTGGCGAGTATTACAAGCACTTAGAACTTCAAAGCCCCTTGAACATCTTGTGACTCTCCCTGGAACTAACATGGAAGTGGCATACCCGCTGTTTGAAGAGGAAAATTGTCTTCCATGGGGCCATGTTCCACTTCCATGTTAGTTCCAGAAAGTGTAACCCGTGAAATCAGCTGGCCTGCATAGGAGCCGGCCACAGGCCATCCAGCCAACGCCGGGCAAACGGAGATCGCCTTCCACCGACTAGCACGGTCGATCATTTGTGGTCGAGAGTGGGGATAAGATCTAAAAACAAATGGTATCTAGCACGGTCATTGATCATAAGCTACACTGATGCTTTTTCTAGTTATGATGAGTACACTAGGGTGCGTAGGGCTCGGTTTACTCCAAGCGAAGAGAAACATGGAGTTTGTTGCAAGGAAAAGCTCAAGACGCACCAACCAACGTTCCTCCACACCCAAACATAGCTCATGATTGCTGAGGTCCTTTCCCTCGAAGGAATTTCATTTGTTACTTGGAAGTGGTCGAGCTCCTTCAGCTTGGAATTCAGGAAGAAGCTGCCTTTCTTCAAGGCAATTGACTTTATTATAGATCCACGCAATCTTGACGCTTTCATCAGTACAAGACTGGTTCCGCTTGGTCTTGTACTGACATATGACATATGTCATCATAATACGATCCAAGTTGTGTCGGGACTCGAGGCTGACACCCCACAGTCTACAATTCATTCCCGTTCCGGAAGAATGACCACTGGCCAACCATGGCCAACCACTGCCTATTAGAGTATCAGTATCAGGATGTTGATCCAGCCGATCTACCAAAGTAAGGAGACTTTGTGATCCGACCATCCATCCTCCATCATCCTCCCATCTCGTCCTTCAAACACACAACCAGGTCCCGGGGCCTTGCGTCTTAAGGCATCTAACGTCGCATCACTGGGCTTGGGCAAGAGCTGATCTGCCTGCGTGCGCGCTCTCTCCGGCTTCGATGGGCACTGACATAAAATGGCAAGAGAAGAAGTAAAAACTGCCATAACCATCATCTCTTATACGGTGTTTGAAGATGCTCCCATGCACTGAATGGTGCGGACATCGCACCTTTGACACCGTTGACAGAAGTTTGGATGGCTCCGGTCACAAGAATGGTCAGGTCGCTGTCCAGGACGACTGGAAAACGGCCAGTGGCAGCCACGGGATTTGGACCCCCAGTGATACAGCGAAGACATGGGTCAATCACTTCTATAGGTCCTCTGGAAATCCAAACATCGACCCCCATTGACATCCAAACACTCGTGGCGTATGGGTCGAAACTCTTCTTGCAGTTCCGACCCTCTTTTCTTCTGCCCACATTTCGGGTCATAGGGTTTCATCGTGAAATCCCAAGCCCAAAAACAGATGCGATAGGATCACCGTGGGTCACCAATCCTCGACTTCGACCAAAGCCAAGGGAGCTCCATTGATATCTGCTGACTTGAGCGTCAATGCGAAAGCCAGGCTAGGGCGTTCCTAAGCACCCTCGTGGAGACTCCATCAAACCTTTAATTCATCACCTCAAGCATCCATTCCCATCGAGCAACGCCAATTGCCAGGATACACCAATTGCCTGATCAAGTCCCATCCGAAATCGAACGACAAACATTTGGACTCTCCAATTCTATCGGAACAGTGACAGTCATCCGCCATATTTCTCAGCGACGCGCATCGTATATGGGCACATCTGTATAGGCGTCGTTGGGGTGAAGCGTGGGCAGTGTCAGTAGATGTAGCGGTGCCTGTACACATCTGTACACTATACATTCGGCTACATGAAGAATACTGCTCCTCGACATCTCAACCCATGCTTTTTCTTGCGGATGTCGCTATATATGCTCACCCAAACTTGGGTTTAGGGGTGTCTCCACTGAACTGGTCGACACTCTTCCACTCTACCTTCTTCTTGTGAATGCTGAATGCAGGAGCCATCAACGTGCCGCACATGCACATTTGCCCATTCCATGTAAAGCCTCCGAGCTTTGCACCGCATGCGCACGCCAGCTTTCCCTGTGCAGCGCTCGTCATCATCCACTGCATGGGTTCGACATAGTATCCACTAGCGCAATCATGTAGCACATGGTCGCTAGTGAATAAGGCTTCTCGACATTTGATGCAACAATACACGAAAGCCGGCCCTTGTCCGTCCCTGCTCTCACCAGCTTCTCCGACGTCTTTGTGTGCGGTGCGTACGAACTCTTGCCGCAGTGCGCTTGCGATGTGCAGGTCAACGGTCTTAAATGAGCTCTTCTTCCATTCTTGCACATAAAGATGCCATGAGGGCTCGTGGCTGAGTGCCCAAGCTGAAAGCATCTTCTTCTCCGCGATGATTGTGCTTGTCCCCTCTTGGATATACAATTGGACCAGCGCCTTCTGCCAAAATCCGTATGATCCAGCTCCTTGGGCGACATCAGCATTACAATCCTCTGCGGGTGTTTTGTCAGATGACTTACTCATGTCGCAGCAACATGCTCTGAGCTTTGTTTCATCTCCTGCCCTCGTCACCAAGTCACCCATTTGCTCATCTGCAGCGAGCTGCTCCTGATTCCTACGATGCGCGGAACCGAGTGGAACCTGTGGAAGCACTTGCGATCCCTCCTCGTCAGCAAGACTGAAATGGGCTTCTTCGAAGACACGCAATTGCTCGCAGAAATTCGCAGCTGGTGCAGCCTTTGGATACATCTCTTTCAGCATGCCAAAGGCTAGATCAAAGGGCAGCTGCCACTGTCGCATCACATATGCAATCACCGTAGAAGCGGAGCGGCTCATACCTGCAAAGCAGTGTACCAGCACCTTGCCTTGCCGCTGAAAGGCATTGTCGAGGAAGGAGAAGATGCGCGGAAGATGAGCCAGCAAATCGTCAGTGCCATCATCCAAAAGGTCGACTTGGAGGTATTGGAACGATCCTGAAAAAAAAAAAACATAGATCAACAAGCCTATCTATATATAATACAGTATCATTCTTTGGATACACTATATGAGCGGCGGACAAAACTTCTTTGTGTCCCCAATGCCAAGAGTATTTCGAGTTGGCCCCTATCGGTTTCCAGTGTTCCTATCGGCTTTGCAAGGTTTTGACCAATTTCAGACACTACTTAAGGCGGCCCATGACTAAAGCCCCTTTACGAACGTCTTGTCAGATGCTCATATTGAAAACTACTTTGAAGAGGATAACATAGGGGGTCTTCCATGCCTTGCCCTAAACATAGGGGTCTTCCATGGGTTGCTTCCCCTAAACCCATCCTGGAAATTCGGGCTGCAGGCTCCGAGCCATCACCACCACATGGCTGATGCCACAGGACCGGAGCGTGGAGTACTCCTTGGCGCCCTCGGCGTCGCAGATGAAGAGCCCCGGAAGGACCGCCGCGTGGAGCGCCATGGCGGGCCGCCGCTCCGGCGGGCTTTCACTGTTGGAACACGGATGGACTCGGAGCGATGGCGAAGGGAAAGGAACCTGGATGCTGAGGCGAGAAATATCGGGAAATAAAGGGGGGGTTAGAGATGGTGAGAGTGTCTAATTGGAGAGACTACGGTTTTTGGGCGGGGCACATTACATCCTCACTTTGCCAAACATTCTCCCAAAAAAAAGAGTAACCTTGATTTGGATACTTTTGGCAATCCAACCCTCTGAAACCAGCAGTGGTTAGAGCTTGCACATCGGAGAAAGACTGCTCCCATAAGGCTCTGGAAAAGCTTCTCCTTGGCCCTTCCAAGGAGAAGTAGACAGCAACGTTTGCTAGTTCGGCCCCAAGACATCGCCAGCCTACCGGAACAACTGCGACCCCCGACACATCACCAGCGCGTCAACGTCGCCCCCCCCGGCCTGCGGAACGTTGGTGGGTCCACAAAGCACATCGCCATGCCTGGGCAAAGGAGGAAAAAGGTGCGACATGACGCGGAGGTGACCCTCTCAACTTGGCTGTTTATAGATGTTCGACCTTGAGTCGTTTAGTTTAAGAAAGCAAATCTTAAGCCAAAAAGGTGACTACACTAACTAATAAGGGTCTAAGAAGAGGCTTGAGGACTGTCAAATCACGTGCTCTCAAGTGTTCTCATCCGGTGGTGAGTGGACGTCCGGGGCCTTGCCTCGGGACAAAAGGCGTGGATGTCCATAGATGTCCCATGGACAAGCCAACGATCAGTTGTCAGGTGTGTTGCACAAACCGGTGAGCCCAAGTCATGTTGTGAAAGAGAAGGTGCATCATCATCATCATCATCATCATCATCTTCTTCTTCTTCTTCATTATCATCATCTTAGAGTTTCAGGTCTGTGTCCATGTCCTCTTTCTCCGGGGCAATCCTCCACGACGGTTCCGGTCCGCCCGCTCCGGGTTGCACGGTGGGCCACACGTAGACGCCCCGCGCGTGGGGCGTTGGCACGGCGCCGATGGGTCGGCCCAGAGGGGCCAGTGAGTGGGGCGAAGGACGTTGGAAGAGGAGGTAGTCACCTGAGAAGACAGAGCTCCATGTCACAGTCGCCCAACAATCAGGGACAATCTATACTTTATACTTTATACATCTATCTGGTTCAAGCACCGAATATACATCTCTGACAAGTTCTCTCTGACAAATATTCTTCAATAGTTTGACCGTCTCGACGTGCTTCTCCTTTCTCTTACCACCCCCGGTGGCCCCACCTCTCCGCGGCTGAAACCACAGCTCCGAAAAATCCCAGAGAGCGGCTGAAAGGCCTCGGGCCACCGCCGGAAGCAATGTGAAGGTCGTTTGAGGAAGGAAGGTGCTGGCCAGCAATGGTACATCACTTGTTGTTTTTGCTTTGATGTGTTGGGTTCATCACAGAAACATATACATGCAGAAACACAATAACAGAGCTTGCAGAGGATGGAAGAAAGAAAGAACCCCTAAAGCCGAACGCCTTCGATCGCCGGAACGGGCCTGTGCAGCTGACGACCTGCTCGGCCAGCAGCGTTTCATCTGGAAGCCTCCCATCCGCGAGGGCAGAAGTCGCTGCGAGGAATGATGAAGCAAAGAAATCGATCCGTGTTGAGCTACATTGCTACATCCTCTGGCTTGGGTTGATTGACTTTAAACATGTTGTAACCGTAGGATCCTCGAGACTGGAGAGGATTCGAATGGATTCGAGATGATTCATCAGCTCCAGAGTCCTTCCAAAATGGCACATCCTGCTACATCACCTGTGCTCGGTCCTCCCAGCGGCTCTGGGCCGAGTCACTGTAACAGCCAAGCCTCACCATATCGCCCCGCAAAGGAGACCTGAGCGAAAACTCGGCGCCACACAGACAGACGCGTCGACTGAGTCGCTTATATAATCGTGGGTGGGAGACATTTAGGAACATGTTCCTTTAGAAGTTCGGAATTGTTGGGAGATGTTGGGAGCATCATGGGTTCTCATGGAGGTTCTTCTTTTAGCCATCCTATCCTTTCATGTTCCTTTCGAACCTAAATTGTTCTGTTCAGAAGTGGAGCCCTGGTATCCATAAACCCGCCAGAGTGTTGCAGCGTTCAGAAGTGAGTCAACAGCTGGAGCCAACAGTTATCTTGCCCAAATGATAGAAACCCTTTCCAATACATTCTTAGTGGGGATTTACTGTTCATATTGGTTTCCTGGTCTTTGACAAAAGAACTGTGGTTTGTGACACCTCGAAGGTCCAGCACCCTTGTCTTGGGAGACCATGTTCGAAGGCATTGGTCAAAACATCCACCGCTTCCAATGCAGCTTGCCATGGAATATTTATCTAGCAACGCACAGCATGGTGAAATTCTTTCATGCCCTCAAGCCTAATGCGCATATAGGATTAAGAAACCCACCCTTATTCATCAAGCCCATCTCGAGCCTCCAATGCAAAACCATAATATAAAACCCAAATTTCCACATTGGCCTCCCACTGATAAAAAATCTTACTTGACAAACACCTCCCCTATCAATCAAATCCATCTGCCCCCAGAAAGTTATTTAAACAAAAAACACACATTTTTAGGGAGATGTGGTCTCCAATACCTCCAATCTCAGACCTTAATACCTCCAAATCCCAAACCTTGTTGACCTTGAGGGGGGGTGATTAATCCTACACGTGCGCATTATGGCTATGTCCACCATTCATCCACCTCTGTCCTCCGCCCCAAAAGCAGTGCTCTTCGGCCGATCTCTTCTCCCCCGGCCTCACAGTGCTCTCGAATCTGCGCGCCCAAGCTATGTGCTTCAGCTGCGAAGGCTAAAACCACCAAGCCTGGGTCCACCGTGACCTCTCCCGGCCTCAATGATGGCAAATCCAAGAGGGAAGGCATGAACCTCACTGACATGGAAATCAAACAACATGGAACAAACGGCCCAGGGATGAGCACCTCTCGGAAAACCTTGGCCCTTCATACCCGGGTCGTTGCTTCTATTAGTTTAAATGATTGAGTGAGAGGTAAATGACATCTGATAGGAAATGGAGGGAGGTTTTGTGGTAAACAAGTATCCGTTCAAGAAGTTTGCAGTTGAAATTGTTTGATGTGAGGCCACCCAGCGGAGTGGACAAAGTCTTGTACATTTGACACCCAACTGTGATCTAGCTCCTAACCGGTGCAGCGGTGCAGCATCATTACGCGCGGCCACCGTGTGTACGCCAGTGTACGCCACCGTGTGTATATGGGAAGGCTTCTCCAGGTCAAACAACGTTGAACACAGTTTGAGACTCTCTCAAGATAGTCAACCCAGGCGCTTGCTGGCACAGTGTTCGAGACGTCGGTTGCCCAACAGTGTTTGAGACGTCTGGCTATGGGTCAAGGCATCATGGCTTTGGAGGTTTTTGACCCGTACATACACACACCCACACCCATACCCACCACGGTAGGTCATGAAATCTTCTTTACGACATCAAACGACTTCAGTTTCATTGCAATAAATACTCAGCCCAGGCGCACCAACACACCTCCCAAAGAAGGTGACAATGCGGGCTCCATGTCTTTCAGCTCCTAGCGATTCAACAACAGAAGAATAATTGGTTTCAGCATGTTTCAGCAATTCTGAGAAATCGAGCACTCGAGCACTGCACAAATTAGGAATTGTACCTCACGGCCTGTAGTCTTTGCTGAACGCTCATTTCAGCAGTCTTGTCCTTTGCGTTTCCATCGGGAAGAGAGTTTCATAGGCTTTCCGGCACCGAATCCGATAGCACCCAGAAATGCATTATAAGGGGCAAGGCCCCGAACCGCCATGGGGGCTGTAAAGCATCTATGTAGCTTGCCTGACATGGGATGTTCAAGCCGCGTTGAACATGTCAATGACGGAAAAGACATCTAATCCTTCCACCTGGATATCAGAAACATGACAAGCAACATCAAGCAACTATAGGCGTCTCATATGATATTTACTGGGCACAACAGCTCTTCAGATACCCGGCAACACCTCCCATCTACCATCATCTACCCCACGAAGCGGCTTGCAACGAAGCGTATTGAGTCTCTCTCCTCCGGGCTGAGTCGCTGCAAATCTACCTGGACAGTGGCGGAACCGGTTGATAAACGATGCCAGGTTTGGCATGGCTTTCTGGAGTGGTTCACCCCATATTGATGAAGTAAGTGAAGGCAGGGCCTTAGGTAAGGGCCTTGCCTTTCGGCCAAGGCCCTGGCCCCGGTCCACATGAACTGCTCCCGGTTTTCTCCGGGTCAACACCCGTGTGCCGGCTGACGCGGTGCGTGCGGTGCGTGCGGTGCGTGCGCGTCAGCTGCGCGTCAGCTGCGCTCCAAGACCGGACCTCCTCGGTGGAGCGCTCCAAGGTCTCCAAGGCCTCAGCTTCCTCGTCCGTCCAAGCGACCTGAGGGGGATGAACAGGGTCGCGGTCGCCAGGTTGGCCGGTCCGTCCGTCCATCCAGACCTCTTGATGGTGAAAGTGCCACATGTCTCGAACGCGAACAGGGAATCTATAGCGAGAATGCTTGAGAAGCTTGGACATCATGTCATTAGGTTCAAGTTCAAGCAAAAGGAGCATGGCAACATATGTTGGTATGTATCGCGACTGTTGATTGCTTAATGTAATTAATTGGCTTTGTCTAGAAAATGGTCCCTCAAAATCCGAAGCATCCCTGCCTTTTCGGTTTCAGCATGAGACATGTTCTTCTCACCTTCCCACTCACCAGCCACTTGTGCAACTCGTTCAACTCATCCTTCTTGTGTCCGTGCTGTGACGTTCCGACCTTCCCAACTCCCCGCTTCAGCGGGTCCCGACTTCGGTGATTTCCGTCCTCCGGTCCCCTATTCACCGGAGTTCCCCGGCGTAGAGCGCACCAGTCTCCCGGTGGGGCACCCCGAGGGCTCGGTAGGTCGGCACGTTCCGCGGCAAGGCCCGGCTCAGACAGCGATGCTCCAGGGAGTCCTGCGCAGCACGTGCTCCAGGGTGTCGAGGTGGTGGGTGGGTCGGACCAAAGTGGCAAAGGAAGTGTGTGGATTCGAATTCAAGTGGTCAGATGCTCCAATGCGGGCATTTAGCCATAAGAGCTCGGAGTTGAACAAGACGGCAAAGACCAAAACCTCTTTTGGCTAGAGAGGCCCTTTGGTGAGAAAAGAGCTTTCGTCTCGCTTGACCAATCTTGCTAGTCGAAGAAGACCGAAGAGGCCAAAGGCGCCCTGGTTTTATGGGGTAATTAGGTTCGAATCAGTTCAAGTTTGGAGGGGTTCCGGGTTGATGGATGCCTGGGTTGTTCCCCAAATTCCGGTAATGTTTATTCCTGGGGTTGTTCCGATGTCGGAGTGTTGGGAACTTGGTGAAACTTGCCAAGTCGACTTTGTTTCCAGCAATTGAAAAAAAAAACATAGCACTTTGGCTTTCTGGCTAGGAGGGCAGATCAAGCCATACAGTCAAATAGCCTGTTCATTCTTCTACGGATACAAAGGGATGTGCTGCAACAGTGGAGCACATTGATTCTGGCGCTCTCCAACAATGGTGTGATTCTGAACTCCAACATCAGCCAAATCTAATTTCTGGGCGCAATTATGCCCAACTAAGCTGTGAGCAACTTACACCCATGAGGCATTCCATGTCTGGTCATTCTTCTCAGGTCTGTAGACGAAACAGTCGTCTTCCAGAGAGGTCTGGTTTCACGCTTTGAGCCCCATGGTTTCAAGATGTTATCTTCGCAAGATCAAGATCCTCTATAACACTGAGAGACAATTCCTGCCCAAATCAGCCAAATCCACAGCTTCATCCAATTCCAAGTGTGGTCCGAATCGGCCGAATCCACACAGCTCGACCGTCCTTGGGTACGCCCAGCATAGTACACGCGATGCCCGTGTTGCCAGCGCTCACGCCACTGCCGACCACACTCTGCTCCTGAAGACGTGGATGGTGAAGTCGATTCCCGGAGCATACAAAGACCGTGCAGAGATAAAAGCAGCATGGTGAAGTCGATTCGCGCAAAATCGGATAAATTAACTATATGAGAAAGTTGAAACAAGGGAGACGATTGCCCGTCTTGCTTCCGAGATAGACCACGTGTTTTTTCTTTTGGTTCGAGGTCTATTCTCAAAGTTCATGTTCGTCCTTCTGAAGTTACCGTGTTCTTGTATTCTCACGGTGAATTTGTGACCTGGGTCACACTCCCGCTGCAACACCACACGTGGCTATATCCGTGTTGTTGGGAGGGTTCTTGCTACAAACACCTTCCTCCAAACGAATTAGCGCCTGATGGCGACCTCTATCGTCGCCTGTGTCCTCCACCGCTCTTCCAAAAACACACGAGATCTACCCCCGAACATTGATTTCAAAGACATGTTCTGCACCAAAAACATCTACCGGGTTGGTTCCACCCCTCATGGCGAGCTGTAAAAAACAGGTTCCAACAAACACGATATATGAAATTGATTGAAATTGTATATTCTGAACATATGCTAGCTTTTTCTAATAACACCATCCCAAAAGAGAAAAAATCAACTCCATATATGCTCCAGCAGCATCACATCTTTGCCCCTCTTCGCCAACTGCCGCGCCACAGCGCAGCCCACCACTCCGCCACCCAAGACAGCCACCTACCCGGTAGGCCGGCCACGCGAGGCCAAGCCGAAGGCTGTTGTGGTCAGTGACGATATTTGGGGCGAAATGCTGAAAGTCACTGGACCTCAAGAGCCTTTAGTGATTTTCTGACTCATGGGATGTTCCCCATGAGTTCACTCAGTTCAGTGGCTAATGACTTTCTGACTCATTCACTCCTTCGAATCCGCTTAGATGACGGATGTATGGACGAGGATTGTGGGTGTCGACGAGTGAATGGTGCCAGAAGCGATGTATGCACCTGGTCAGCCTACTCTCTTCTCTCCTCGCCACTCCTTATCTCTTATCCTAATCGCAGTGGACAAAGAGGATCATAGGATCATGAAAAAATCCTGAGGACTGGAGAGGAGTTGCTACAAGTGGCTGTGAATCAAAATATCAAAATCTCCCCAACCAAACCATGGGAGGTTGACATCCCCTATAATCGACTATAGAAGGAATCTGATCATTTTCAGGGCTCCCACCACAAAACATAAGAATCGCGTCAACTAGCAAACCTTATTTCTTGATATCTCTTGTGTGACCTGCCTTTGCTCATGTAGGGCCCCTAAAAGACTCCAAGACCTGCCTGGACCGCCGTCCGCTGTGCCATGTCACTGTGTTGCTGTCAGCTGCTCGGCTGCATGGCTTCGCTTGTTAGGAAAGCATCTCAATAATTCAATAGCACCCGTTTACTTCATCAACTTGGGTTTCTCTTGGAAGTTCAGTTTTGGAGTTTGCTTCCATCGCAAGATTGCATGCCTCAGAATGAAACCTTGCGGGATGCAAAAAAACTCTAATGACAGCAGCGAACATTTAGTAAGAATGTTGAATTCCCATGCTGGATGCAAAATAGCTGCGCAAAAGAACTAAGCAATTGTCTATGTGCGTCAAAAATGTTGGTATTGCGTTGGTACGCCATTGACGTCACCAGCATTGCGCACAAGCAATATACTGTCAGTGTCAAATTGGAATTGCTACAAAACAAACATGTCTTAATGCACAAACAAGCGGTCTTCACTTCAAGCAATCATGAAACATGTTTCACTTAAAGTGAACTTCGGCAAACATTGAAAACTCGATATTCGCAACATCTGTCAAGCGCCCAAGACAATATCGCCAGAGTGACAACTTCTGATCCAAGGTCCCTTCACCTGCATCCATCATCCATTTCGGTCCCCGCGAATCGTTGAAAAGACTGCATCTTGAGTTCGGGAACGCGTCTTTTCCAACATGCACTTTGTTGGAGCAAATGAAAACAATTTGGCAAAGGAAAACCATTTGGTTTGCACACGTTGCAATACTTTCAAAAAAGGGGTTCTGCTGGAGAGCTGCAATTTTCCACTAAGGACAGCTGTTCCAAATGCTGGTCTCGTTCTCTTGTCCTTATCTTCACAGGTTCACACTGCTGCACCCAGCTGAGATGTTATTCTGCTATTACTCAGATGCCCCAAAGGGCACTGAACTCAGTGACCATAGCACCGCCTCTCTGCCAACTAACACAAATCACCGGATCTTGGGCCTTCTTCTTGATCACCTGTGCCGGACGCCCCGAAGACAGAAGCTTCAATGACTTCTGAGTTAGAACATTCATTCCTATCTGGGTATTTCTGAGTATGTTCGTTGGGTCCAAAGGCATTTTGCCCCTCCATGAAAAGCCTTGTTAGGAGTTCTGTAAAGACAATGTTTCATGTTTCTGAAATTATTAGCGGTTTCAAACCTTACGTTGTGGCCTGAGACATGATTAATGTACATCTGTTCGCAAAAACTATCTAGCAAGGGCTGGGACTATGTGTGACCTTTATCTTCGCTCCTTCATTCGGTACAGTAACTCTTTTGCAGATCTGAGTTTTGATCTCAAGGAACAGCAAGCTTCTTACGGGTCACACCACTCAATAAATCCAAAAAAATGCGCCTCCGACCGGTGGCAAGGTATAGGTGGCAGCGGGCGCCTGTATAGGATTCACGAGCCATTTGGATTTCTCAGATTGGACTTCAAGAAACTATCTTATCGTCGATGATTTGGGCGTTGACCAGGTGCCAGTAGGCGCGATAGGCAGTTTCAGATTAATCTCCAAGTGCCACACCGGTTTCTTCAGCACGCAATACCTCCAACGCGGCGGCTGCAATCTGTCATCAACCGTTGTTGATGGGCTAGATTGCATGGGTTGCCAACATCTTCTTTAGAATGCAAGGATTGCAATGAAGCATTGCAAGCATCAACAGCATCATAAAAAAAAAACATGTGTGACAGGACAAACAAAAATCCAAAGACCGTCCCAATACGATATGCAAATATTGTCAATTACGCAATACAAACATAAGATAGCCCTCAAGCTAGAAACACGACATGAGCTGATCATGCGGCGTTTTCGTGCGCGTTCTTGCATGAGCCATCCCAACATCTGCCAAGTTGCAGAACCCCCAGCATCACCAGCGCCATGAGGCTGAGCACGCCGGCCTGTGTCCAGAAACACGTCCCAAATCAACCAAACGCAACGCCTAATCCTGCTCTTGATCCTACTCCTGACTCTACTCCTGGTCCTACTCCATTCCTCTACTCGTGTGAGTCCAACCTCTGAGTCCTTCTTTTGATTGAAAACAGCCGAACGAACCTCCACCTGCCAAAGCGGCAGCTTACGGCCTGGGAGATCATGGGGTGGGTGAGCCCGGGTGAGCTGGAGATGTCTTGTGAAGTTGGGGAAATTCATCAGATTGGTTGGGGAAGACGTGTCCGGAGCTTCAGGATGACACCTATTGAACCTCGAAGGGCCACCAGTAGAACTTGCCTCCATGGAAGATTGCCACTAGGTGTTGGAGTAAGGGTGTCACCCCTGGAAATATTAGAGGTCTCCTGTCTTCTCATCTATAGGTCTTGAATGGTTCATGGGTTTGTGAGCCCAAGCCTCATGTGACTCATGTCTCCTGATCCCAACAGCTTCGATCTTTCACTGTCGCACCAAAACAATTGGATGGAAAGATGTGAGGGGGGGTCTAGAAACCACCCTTTGAGCTGGTTGATTGCCCAAGACTGGTGCCCACACCCAAGATCGGTTGCAACTTCCCGGGGAGCGCTGCGAACCTTGGCAGTCGACGGGGGGACGAAGAGTTCAGGGCAGGATAGGATGGATCACTGGAAGATGGAGAAACTTCCAAGGCTTTTCGTGTTGTTTTTGGGAGTAACTTGGATCAATTCAATTCATGATATTTACCTCCAGGTGTGAACAACTCTGCAGAGCAACCAAGAAATGGACATCAGTAGAAACTAACTACTGGTTACCAAACTCATCGTTGAAAGGCTACCCAGAATGAATTTCAGAACGCCTGCAGCTACCTTGAGCTGCTGTTGTTTGAGGTTGCTTGTGTGCTCCCCTCAGAGGTAAGGTTAGCGACAAATGCACCAAACGTCTGGGACTGACCTTCGTTGGTCGTTCGCTCCGCTCTGGGCGCCAGCGCAGCGATCGATTGCTCTCGTCCTCCGGTTTGCGACAGGAGAAGGACCGTAGGTGTTGAGAGGAGTGAAGCAAGGCTCGGTCTTTTCAATTCTGTTCATGCCGCTCCTATGATCTATGAGTCTTCATAAAGGAATGCCGCTTCAACGACCGTGTCTTGAGACAAATTGCGTGGACCAGTGGGAATGATCCCTCAATCTCTCTTCTATACCCCACAATGGAAGTGAAAGAAGGAGAGAGGAGCACAGCGGAGCTACACATCCAGAGCATAGTTCACACCGATCAGATCTCCTACATCCTGAAGGGAATGATTTTCAAGGCCTTGTGCTGGAAGCAAGAACGCCATGGAACGTATGCCAAAGTACTTCATTGGTCTTTACCTTTTCCCAAGATGAACATGGGCAGTTTTGGCCTTGAAAACCAACCACTTGTGAGTAGAGTGAGTAGAGGCATCCCTGGGAGTCTTTCATGATCATTGCTTGGTGGCTGACAGCAGTGAGGTCGTCTCATGTCTCATCAAGGTTGGGGAAAGAAAGCTTGGATTGGAACATCCCAACTTGTCTCTTTCACTTGGAGACTCCCCAATCCCCTCAGTGGAAAGGGACAAACAGGCCAATGGATGCCAATGGCATCGTTTTGCTTGCTTGCCCGGCGCGGCAGCGAGTGAAGGGTCCTGCTTCGGCTCCACCTTTTCCTCGCCCGCATCATCGGGGTCTACATCATGAAAGCTGGAACGCAGCGCATACCTCAAGGGCATCATGCCGTGCTGTTGCTCAAATACCGCCAAAACACGGAGCTTCGCTTCAAAACACTTCTCCAGAATGTCCCACAATCTGCAACAATTTTAGAGAACCTCCGCCTAGTCCATCTTGAGAGTAACTATCCGAGCTCTTCTTGACCTTTAAAAAATGGTCATAGGACTCATTAGGATTCCTTAGGATCACCCCATCTAATCCCGTCCTCCTAATTATAACACGGCCCCCCCCCCCCTATTAAAAAAACCTCGGTCGCATTTTTTCTAATAGGGGGTCCCTGAAATCGCGGGGGCCCAAAATAGGGTCACCTGGAAAGAGTTTCAAAACCAAAAAGTAATCCAGGAAAATTTTATATAAAATCTTTTATTAAACTCGTATCAAAAATGCAAAAAACCGCCAGATCGAAGGGTCTTCCTTTTCCCCTACAAAAACCTTCATTAGAATAGTGATTCTTCAGTAGACTAACAGCTAAAGCTTTCGAAAGGTGATGTCGCTGTGCCATGCGGTGTTGCATGACCTCGGTGGCAAGTGCGTTTGCGTGAGTCCGTGCCATTGAGGGAAGGAAAGCCTGCTGGTGTAAGCGCGGCGTGTCATGGTGGAGTTTTGGGGAACCTAATAAAAAAAACTACCACCAAAATCGACCATGTTGGTAGTTTAGTAGCGGTTTGAAAGGGCGGCAATTTAAAACCAAATATAAACCGAATTTAGGGGTTCGGACGTGGTGTCTTTTTAATTGGGGAGTTCGGAGTGTTTATTAATAGGTACTCGGGATTAGCCACCACTCGGCTCCCCTGCTCGGGCCGGACGCCGCACACCAACGTCTGGCGCGCGACGGCGCGGACGATTTGGCGCACCAAGGCAGTGGGGGTTGAAATGGATTTGAGGGTTCCGAGAGCCCACAATGTCCAGGGTTTCCGCAGTTTTTGGATGTTTTTGGAGGGGATGAAGGTGCATTATGGTGCACTTGGCAAGCGAATAACCATACCGACTAGTAATCGACCTGCCTCAAAAAGTCCGAAGCCTTTCCTCCCGCATGACCGACGTCCGAAGCCTTTCCCTCTGCAGGACCACAAAAACACATTCCATGCTCATACCAACTGCCGATGTAGAGAGACACGTTCTTCATGGCTGTCTTAAATGTCGACGCTTCAATTTGTTCCACGTGGCAGTCGATGCATCCCGGAGGACCAGAGCTTAAGGAACTTCACTCCGGAAGTCTTTGGTCGGTAAATAGTAAAACGAAGACTCCCATGTGGCTCCCTGTGACCCCTCCCATCATCCATCATTCAGGATGTGAGCTGATCAGTTGGGGCAGTTAGTGTGCATTGTCTGGTGGGTTTTACAAACAAAGCTGGCCTGAGAAAATGCCAGGAACAGCACCTGGCCATTCGCTGCGCTTCGTCAAG